ATTAAAATCCAAAAGGATCCCTATGACTCCAAGGGTTACACACACACACACACACTCAAGCAATTGCGTACTGACTCGATTGCGGTTTGCCACACACCAGCCTAAGTAAAACCTAAGGAGCCAGGTGTAAGTAAGGTGGTCGAAACATCTTCGAAACCTCAAAGGCCTCCATCTCCACTGTTGAGCATCTCAACCAAAGCGACAAATGCATGACTGCCGAGTGCATAACCGATGCAAAGGCTGGTAAGCTTGTTGTAGTTACAACGGGGCCCGAGAGGAAGTGAAGGGTAATCATTGCAGGTACGTCGACAGGACGTCTCCCGTCGATATCACAAGCGAGAGATAGGTGTCTTCGTTGGCACCTGTCCTAGTGCTGCTCCAGGTGCCCCCTGCTATTTATCAAGATACAACACGAAGCGAAGCTTCAAATCAATGGACTCCCTGTGAGTCCAAGGGGCTCACACACACACACACACGCCTCCCAATATGGGAGGCAGTTCTTTTCTAAGGGCGAGGCGCGCTGCGGTGAAGATGTGAGTTCAAGAAAAGGTGAAAAGTTCGGTCCGCTTAGGATAGGCAGTCGGAGGGATCGCGTCATCATGGAGACGAGGTGGTCGACGGAGAGGGCCCCGGGTAGGCGCGTGGGAGCGAGGGTATTCATCAATGCGTCCAATAGGGCGAACATGGCGGACGTTCACAAAGTGCATGACAAGAACTTCCAAAGAGAAGTTGCAGGGAGTCTCCCACACGCGAGAATCACCAGTAGAAGGCGAAGCCAGCCAAAAGGTAGCGCGGGGGATTCCAAGGCGGGAGTCGATCACATCCTTGAGATCATCGACGGTGTAGTCTTTGTCATCCAAAGTGGCCCCGGAGAGGGTGAACAGTTCAAAGGCTGGTGAACTAAGAGGCTCGTGTCCAACTCGATTTTTGGAACTTCAGAGAGGCTGCCAAATCGAAGTCGGGCGTCGTAAATGGTCCGGTAAAGTGGATCAGGTAGTCGAAGGCCAGGAGAGGCCATCGTCGCAGATGCGAGGCCAACGGAGGAAGGAGAGCTAAAGCCATCAACACAGTTAAAGCAAACACGCCTGCGGCAAAAGAGAAGGAAATTAATCAACGAAGGAAGTATCCAGTAAAGCGGTACAATGTCTGTGAGAAACTGGAGGGTAGAGAGAAGAGCAGAGCAATCAAGACAGTGTATCCGGCGCGGAAAAAGACGGTAGTATGAAGGTAAGAAGATAACATACGGTCACGATTTTTTGGCATAGTCCGCAGCGCTGCAGACGGAAGAGTGAGACGAGGTGCTTCCCGCTTGGGGGGGCAGAAGGTAAGTTAAGGTTCTGCCAAGTGAACATGTGCGCGCACAAAAGACAAACAGACGAAGACATGAGAAGAAGACGAGACAAGACGAGCGTGTGTGGTTGCGATGAAGGGGAACCAAGTGCCCTACACCGGGGCAACCGGTGAACCATACCTCATTATCAAGACCCGGGCGACCTGAAACCTAGATTAAATGTAGTTGCGCGCGAAGGGCCGGAAGGAGGAAACGGAGTGAGATGAGAGGACATGAAGGCGGAGAAGACATGAAAGAAGTGTATGAAGGAACGCAAAGTGAGTGTGTGTGTGTGTGTGAAGGGGAAAGGATGAAAGGGGAACCAAAGTGAGGGGCGGGAAAACAATGACGCCAAACCTCATTAAAGCGGACGTGGGGAAGGAAACCTAGCCTGGTCTTGGTATGTACGAGCTGTGTTGCACTTAAAGTCGGGACGCCCTAATCTTTGTTCAGCCTGCTCTTGTCCGGCGCCGTCAGGTCTTAATCAATGTTTGGCATAAGCCTCTTACGCCCGCATCATAGACAAACCTTTGATCAGCAAGGCCACAGGGACAGTTGGCGGGTACACCCCGGCTGGCTTGAAGCCAGAGACACACTTGGGATATCGCGGTACGGTATTGATTGACGGTTGGCCACTCGCCGACCTAAGTAAAAACCTCAGGGGCCAGGTAGAAACAAGAACATCGCTACGGGTTGGAGGCCATCGCTAGTAGGTTAGTTGCAAGCAGACAAGAGAGCGGTTGAACACCGCATCACAACCCGATTCACCAGGAAAGGTTGGTGGTCATGCCGTCGCATCTAGGGGCCAACGCAACAGGTTGGAGGCCACCGCTAGCAGGTTAGCTGCATATAAAGCACGCTGATAGAGTAGGTGGAAGTAGGGGTTACTTCCACACAGTGAGCGAGACAGATGAATCGCTCACTCTAGGAAAGTTAGACCACAATACTAAAGCCTCCTACCTGTTTGCGAGCGAGACAAGAATTGCTTTATAGGTAGTGGGTTTCCAAAGGCAGGTGCACATTCAGGCGTCCTCCACCAGTCTTCCGTAGCTTTGTCGGGCGCCGTGGGAAGACTGGCCGTTGCCCCCCCTGCTAGGGCTTCACGCGCACACAAAGTGTTCAATCTGGAAGACTTGGCGGCCTCATGCCCGAAGCTTTCAGTCAACCTCCGGCGCTGTCAGCTAAGGCCTTTGCCTTTCTGAGGAGTGACGGTTCTGTGATGACTTGGGGACACGACACTTGTGGGGGAAGCAGCCGAAGGGTGCAGCGCCAGCTCGTTGACGTTGAAGCAGCTGTGCATTTGCTCAAAATCTTTTTCTGTTTGTCCACCAAAAGCATCCACGATCAATGGGACACACGCGCAAACACACCAGTTCAAACAATGATATGAATGGAAAGACCCAAACACAGACATATCCATTATGTACGAACGCATGTCCTGATAGTGCCTGCTTCTCTGGTTGAATCTGTCGGTCATCAACTCGCAAGGATGTGGTGGGGAACAATTACGCCTTTGCAGCGCGCCGGTCAGATGGCCGTGTCGTCGCCTGGGGCGAAGGCTTGTGTGGTCCAGGACCGGTGTCCGTGCAATTGACCTCAGTGGTGCAGGTGGAAGCGACTGAGGCTGCCTTTGCGGCTTTGCGAGCCGATGGGCAGGTGGTTTGTTGGGGAACGATTCAGGACGTTGACCAGGAGGTGTTTGAAGTGAAGAAGCTCGTTGCCAGCTCCAAAGCATTTGCGGCTTTAAGAGCTGATGGGCGAGTGGTTTCTTGGGGGTTGAGGACCTCAGGGGGTGACAGCAGCCGTGTCCAAGAAAGGCTGATGGAGGTTCAAAAGATTTTTGCTGCAAGGAACAGCTTTGTTGCAGAGAGGAGGGATGGAAAAGCCGTCATTTGGGGCGAATTTGAGTTGGAGGAAGATGATCCAATTTTGGA